CACACTACCTGTGATTCGTGGTATTTCCAGCCAATCATGTAGTAGATCTGAAAGGTGGCAGGAACTGAGCCATCAGTATTTCCATACATTTCTGTTGGGAAAGGAAAAGAGAGAGGAAAGGTACCCAGAGCATCAGGTTTAGGAAACACTGAGTTCTCAGAACATTAGAACTAAGTGTGATATATTCATCATAATGACTCCTGGTGAAAGATTTGGGACAATAAAAATATCTCACACCGGTGCATCAACACAGTTCAAATCCTGTCATTACAATTAAGGTTAAAAATAGCTTATGATAATGGTATTTTATTCTATTCCGAAGTGTTTGGGGTTTTGGGTTTTTTTTTCCTCGGATTTTTTTTTTTTTTAAGGAAAGCTCAGAGAAAAAGACACGGAAAAGAAGTTTTTAAAGTCATTTCAGGTGAAGTCATTACCTCTCAAACACTGACCTCGGTAAATTGCAGCAGCTGCCAGCATTGTGTCCCTGTGCAGCAGAGGTTTTCTATTCCAAGAGCAATTACTCTCCCCCATACCTAAAAATACGGTTTAGCTTTAAGAAAAAGAAGATACAGCACATGCCATGAGTTGGGTGTCATGCACTAAGGACAGACTTTTACTAAACCACAATAAGAATCCTCTGTGTTTTGCTGAAAGAGAGCACATACCACAAATAATTAGGTGAGTTTCTTACCTGTAAGAATCCAGAACTTTTAATTCCCATGCTTTGCAATTTATAGTTTGCCCTGCTAGCTATCATTTCAGATTACTACTTCTTTCAAGCCTGAGTCTTGAAACATTTAGGCTTTCCAGTATAATTTATTTTAAGAATGAGTACAAAATTCAGGCACATCACCGTATTTACAAATACACCTTAGGATGTATTGCTATTTTTAATAAGAAATAAGCCAAAAATTCTAATCTCCTTAATCACTTACTGCATCTGAATGTTCCTGATGAGGATAAGTTTCGTTTCCATTAAGGAATTACTCCAAGCTGCAGCTGATCCAGGTAAGAAATGCCCTGCTTTGCTCTGTTAAGTAACAACTGGCTGTATATGAGTGACTGCTTTACAATCTGTGAGTGCAATCAGAATATAACCAAAATTGTTAATTGTTTGCTGAATACCCTGATAATCAGGCTCACAGGAAAAGTTAATATGTGGAATACAGGCTTCTGGTTCCCTTTCAGGGCTTTTCTGCACCTTCCCCTGGACAGGCTCATTCAGAACAGGAATTCAAGTGAAGCAGAAAATTCGTAGCAAAGCTTTGACTTCTGCTTCCCAACACAAATGTGCTGAGAGGCACAATCTCCTGACTCACTGGAGGGCAGGAACAAAGTAACGATTCCACTGTTATAGTAATTTATTACTTATTTATATTGCTGTAAGAATTTTTTTTTTTTTTATGATGAGGGTGTTGAGGGACTGGCACAGGTTTCGAAGAGAGGTGGTAGATATCCCATTACCTGAAAACATTCATGGACGAGGTTCTGAGCAACCTGATGTAGTTCAAGATGTCCCTGCTCGCTGCAAGGGGCTTGCACCAGATGGCCTTTAAAGACCCCTTCCAGCTAAATAACCTGGAGTTCAGAAACACACAGGGAAACTCCTCTGTGCCTGCACCACTGACACAGAAAACATTCCTGTTTCCATGGAGAATACACTTGCCTTGCAAGTCTTCCATGACCTCGAACAATCCTGGGTAGTTGACCTGGATTTCATCAGTATCCTGAAAGAATTGAGAAGCTCAGTTTTAGAGCACATCAAGCTAAAGCAGCAGCATCATGCCAATCGTCAGAGCTGTTAATGGACTATTCCCTGCCCATGGCAGAGAGGTTGGAGCTGATCATCTTTAAAGGTCCCTTCCAACCCAAACCGTTCTATGATTCTCTTCATCTGCCTCTCCTGCTCGAGCAATGTATTTCTCAGATGAATGTACTGCCCTAACATTTCTAAAAGGTTTTGCTTTGTAGCCCAAATACAACCAAATTTTAATCGAAACGCTATTATTTTCTCCTTGCTTTCACAAGAAACACCAAGTGTCTAAAGGCTTTTCAAGCAGGTCTAACATTCTCTGACATTTCTCCAAGAAGACCATCCAAATTCTACCGGGCCACGAGCCAAAGACACACTTCAGTTGGTCCCATTAATCACCACAAAGCCCACAACAGCAGCAGCCCAAGCCACTTCAGAAGCTCGTTCGGCAAAGGTGCACGACACGCAGAAGGGAGCAGCACATTACATCAGCAAAAAGCGATTTTTCTATCCCAGCAGCTCTGGCTCGCTCGGTGTGGTTGTTCTGTTGTTTGCAATTACCACAGTCAGGGTGTTGAAGCCGGCTCTGGACAGCAGATGTCCCAGATCAGCCACAGCAGTGAAGGGCGACACGTGGGGGGAAAACCCCCCTTCCCTCTCCAGCTCTGCCAGCTGCAAAGAGCAGCGCAGCTCGTACAGGGTGTCCCCCCCAAACATGGCTCCAATGAACACCCCATCCGGCTTGAGAACCTGGTGGATCTGCAACACACAAATAGAAATGGGGGTTGACATTGTGCAGTTAGAGAGTTCTTAGGACTCTGCTTTTTAATGAACTCCAAAGCAGTTGTTTTAGTAGCTGTTTTAACAGATCTGTGCATTCTGCCACAGCTTGTGGTAACACTGCACACAAATCATCCGGCTGAACAAAGACTATTTTTTTTCTTAAGGAAGAGTAAATCTCCAGAAATGACACAGGGAGGCAGGAAACCTAGCAGGAACTGTGGAAATTGAGGGTAAAACTGTTTTCAGCGGGATACTCCTAAAACAATATCCTCAATTAAGTTACTTCTGAAAACAGGGTAGATTAGGACAGATTCTGCTCGCTTTTACTCGGCCAGATGAGAGCAGCAAAAGCACTTTTTAGTGCCTTGATTGAAGGAGGCCTGAATTTCCAGTAGTGATCTCCCCACTTCTGAGAGACAACAGAGTAATGCAGCTTTTATTATGTCTACCCCTGTTTATTTTCAACTGGCCAGAGCAGCAACATCACAACTCAAACACCAAACTCCTTTCCTGTCTCCCAAGTTTTAATGAGAAGGCCAATAAATTCCTGCTTTTTTCCCTAAGAACTGGCAGTGATGCCTGGTTTAGATAACCAGAAGAGCTCTATTAGATAATGGGGCTAACGAGAGAGTTTCTTCTAAAACTTCGGGCAGTTCTAAAAGAAAAATATTTACCATTGTTTTTTAATTAAGTATTAATCAAACTACCTTTCTTATGCTAGCAAAAAAAGCCTTTAATTGACAGGAAAAAATATTAAGCAGTTAAAGGCAGTTTCCATGAGTTAAAGCCAGGGGTACCAGCAGAGGAAATGAGCATCCATGATAAAGGTTGGCCAAGAAATCCAGTTCCCTCCCCTGTGTGGGACATTATATTGTATTTACTGTGGGGGTAAAAATGTTTGACACTCTCTAGAACACTTAAAATTCCAGTGAAAATTATGTATTTCTTTCCAAGTATTTTTCTTTTAGGTACTGAAGGCAGTCCAATTTATCATTCCCATAACAGTAGGGTACTCCTGTTCCTGCCAGCAGGTGAAGAAACAGCACTGGAATGACTGATCAACTTGAAATAAATGAAAAAAAACCAACAAACTGGTTAAAATAATTCTTGCTCCAAGGGTTTGATTTGACTGAAGTTTACACCTGCAGTAAAGAGATGAACTAATCCAAAATAAGGTGTTTTGGTTGTTTTGTTGTTTGTTTTTTTTTTTTTCAGAAAGTTTTGGTTTTCTGTCCTCAACAAATATTTGCTTCATTTCAAAAGGAGAAAGCCTTGCTCTGTATTGCCTCAGGTGACAGGAGTTACCACCGTCACAGCTGTTGAGAATTCAAAATATTAAATAAACATGTTGTTTCAGTTATTTATTCTGAATTGATTTGAGGCAGTAAATTAGTAGCAATATCAAGTGGTGCTCCTCAAGCTGCCAAAAATACTGCAAAAAAAAAAAATACTTGTGTGCAACGTGAGCTATTTCTGTGCCTCTTATTTAGAGAGGATCTGGAAATAGAGAGTGCTCTCAAAGCAAGTGATGGTTTTTAGTATTAAAAAAACAGTTTCTTACCTCTTTAAAAGCTTTAGGAAGGTCATTCACCCAATGCAAACTGAAATAACAGAAGCATACGTTTTCTGATCATATATTTAATAAAATTGAGGGAATGCACCTGTTTAATTAACTAAGTTCCAGGAGCCAAAGCCACAAACTAGTTTCTCAAGCTGCAACAGTTCTGAAATACCTACCTAAAAATGATATTAAATGAAACCAAAAATTGGTAAAAATATAGTTTTTTTTTCCTTTTAGGTTTTTTTGTTAAATTGAGAAGATTCCAGTCCTGGAGACTAGTTTGTCAAAGTACAGGGAAGGGAGAAACTACAAATGTTTTGAAGGAAAACAAACAAATCAACTAGGAAGAAGCACCAGGACAGAAGATTTTCCTAATGCAGGCTCATATTAACTACTCAAGTACATTCCTTACTGCTCTTTAATGGACTATTTATCTTTTTTTGGCTTTATTTTCTTCCAGCTACTTTGAAAAGAATGTTATCTGACATTATTAAGAAAGCAAAGCAAAATAAATAAATGATTAATGCATACCTTAAGCTGCTAACAACAAGGTCAAATGTGTTTTCTTTGAACGGAAGGAATTCCTCATCAGCTACAACCTTGACCGTGGGGATTTCAGTTTCTACAGCGTTTTTCTAATGTTGGGTTAGAAGAAAAACAATACCAGAAACTCACTTCTTCTGCTTTCCTGTATCACAGAACTGAAGCACATTAATGGCCTTCAAAAAGCCACTTACCAAGGCATTCTCTGCCACGTCAACTTGAATAAGTTTTTCAACTGTTTCCTGAAACAAAATTTTAAAAGTCTATTAAGTATTTAAATTGTTTCCTACATAGAGGTAAGTCACTTCTTTATAAAAACCTAGAAACAGTCCCTTTCATCTCTTGATAAAAGTTTTATATAAAGCAGAAAGCATTTTTCCCTACCTAACACGGCACTTGCTCCCAAAGAGAGCAGGTGAGGCAGAAGGGGTAACAGAAAACACATTCTGGATTTTTAGGCGTAAGTTTAGCTAAATATAAACCATATATATATATAAATATAAACAGCCAAGGAAGCACCTTTAGTTACAGCATGGTTCACGAAGGGGAAACAGTTCATGGCTTAAAAGTTTCCATAATTATGCTTCTCTTTAGCAACCGTGTTGAATAGATTGATCAAAAGACATGTATATTCCTACTCAGAATTAAGAGTTCATTGTCATATAATGGAGAGCTTCCCTGGCACTATTATTTGTCAAGTTTTCATTGGCAATAAGTTAAAAATAGCCTGCCAAACACACAGGTATGAAAGGGAGAGGGGGGAAGATATACCTCAAGACCCAGAAGACTGACTTAAGTTATAACTGAGTCCTACTTGACAATGGAGGGTGCAGATGAACTCACTTTAAACACTTCTAAGGATGAAGAGACAGTACCTTGTTTAAATGCTGCGCTATATAACCTCGTCCAGAGCCAACATCCAAAGCCAGAGGAAACGTTCTAAAGGACAAGATCAGCAACACAATACACAATCAAGACTCAGGAACGTTTTATGTATTAGGCTACGTTAAGTTTCACCTCCTGATTCCCAAAGGCCTCGTGAAACTCAGCCCACGGAGCGTCCTCCTGCGGGACCGCGGGGAAGGCGCTCCTTATCCAGCGGTTCTCACCTGGTGATGTCAAACACCCTGTCCGCGATCCTGCCGCCGACCTGCGGGAAGAGCCCGCGGAAAATTAGGGTCAATTAGTTTGGAAAAGACCTCTAAAACCATCGAATCCAACCTATGACCCACACCACTTTGTCAACCAGCCCCTGGCATCGAGTGCCACGTCCAGCCTTTCCTTAAACACCGCCAGGGATGGGGACTCCACCACCTCCCTGGGCAGTCCATTCCAATGTTTGATAACCCTTTCTGTGGAGAAATTCTTCCCTATGTCCAAACTCAGCCTCCTCTGGCACAGCCTGAGACTGTGCCCTCTCATCTTGTCTCCAGCCCCTGGGAGCAGAGCCCGACCTCCCCCCGGCTACACCCTCCCGACAGGGAGCTGAAGGGAGCGAGAAGGTCACCCCCGACCCTCCTTTTCTCCAGGCTGAGCCCTCCCAACTCCCTCAGCCGCTCCCCATCAGAGTTGTGCTCCACACCCACTACCAGCCCCTCACTGTCGCCCCCGACCCCCCGAAGGGTCCCGTCCCCGGGCACAGCCCCCGCACCTCCTCCCGCAGGTAATCGCACTTGGCGGGCTCGGCCTGCAGCGCCGCCCAGTTCTTCTGCTTCCGCTTCAGCCGCCGGTCGAAGGGGCTCAGCGCCCCCGAGGCGGCCGCGGGCGGAGGAGGCGGAGAGGCGGGCAGAGCCCGACGCGGCGGGGCCGAGAGCGAGCCGCGCCATCCCGCCCTCAGCGCCGGCCGCAACAAGCCCCTCATGGCCCCCCCCCACCCTCCCCCGCGCATGCGGCGCGGCCGAGCGCTGTGTCCCGCCGCGGCTCCCGTAGCGCCGCCGGAAGTGGAGGGGAAGCGGCGGCGTGGTGGGAGCGGCGGGGCCGGAGCGGGCCGGGAAGGGCAAGGTGGGTGCGAGCGGGGCCGCCCCGGGACTCCTGCGGGGCTGTGTTTGTTGTTGCGGTCGCGGGAGGAGCGGCGCGGGGAGCGGGGGTTGCCGCAGCCGCGGGGGGTGCCGGGCAGAGCTCGCCCGAGGTCCGCGCGTGGGTCTGGCGGGGAGTCACCCGGGGCTGTGTGTGCTGCCGGTGCGGTGGGTGATCTTAAAGATCATCCAGCTCCAATCCCCTGCCGTGGGCAGGGACACCTTCCGCTAGGCCAGGTCGCTCAGAGCCCCATCCAGCCGAGTCTTGAACATTTCCAGGGATGGGGCAGCCACAGCCTCTCTGGTCAAGCTGTGCCAGGGCCTCACCGTCCTCACAGTAAAGAACTTTCTCCTGATTTCCAATCTAAACCCACGCTCTGTCGGTTTAAAGCTTGTCTTGTCACTCCAGGCTCTTGTAGATAGTCCCTCTCCATCTTCCACGTGGGCTCCTCTCAAGTACTGAAAGGCCACAATTAGGTCACCCTTGAGTCTTCTCTTTTCCAGGCTGAACAAAATATTCTCTCAGCCTCTCCCCATAGCAGAGGTGCTCCATCCCTCTGATCATCTTTGTGGCTTCCTCTGGACTCGCTCCAACAGGTCCATGTCCTTGCTGTGCTGGGGACCCCATTGCTGGAGGCAGCACTGCAGGTGGGGTCTCACCTGAGCAGGGCAGAGGGACAGAATTCCCCCCTTCCCTGCTGCCCACACTGCTTTGGATGCAGCCCAGGACACAGCTGCCAAGGAAACAAAGATTTCTGGTCTCAAAGATTTGATAGTTACAGGTTTATTTGTCAGGCCACACCTGGAATTCCAAGTTCAGTTGTGGACAGGCTGGTCCAGAGAAGGGCCACAGGGATGACAAAAGGACTGGGGAGGTGCTGTGTGAGGGAAGGCTGAGACAGGTGGGTTTGTTCAATCTCGAGAGAAAAGGCTCAGAGGAGACCTTATCCCTGTGTTCCAGGGATGTTCCAAGGATGGCTGCAGAGAAGGTGGAGACTCCCTTTTTACCGGGAGTCACGTGCAAAAGACAAGGGGTAATGGATACAAGTTAATCCTGGGGAGATTCCATTTAGACACCAGAGGAAAGTTTTCCTCAGTGACAACAATGAGCCATTGGAATAATCTCCCCAGGGGAGTGATGATTCCCCAGCAATGGACTCCTGTAAGATTTGGCTGGACAGGGTGCTGGGACATCTTGTCTAGACAGAACCTTTCCAAGAAAGGTTGGACCAGCTGATCCTTGAGGTGCCTTCCAACCTGATGGTCTGCGATGCCACGAAATTACCACATGTGCCTTTGGAAAGGACTTCTTAGGGATAGGTTAGAAATCTAACTTTGCTTAATCCTTTAATTTCTTTTTTCTTTTCCAGCTACATATCTGAATCTTTGTTAATTGGATGTTTGGTTTTTTTTTTTAACCAGAAGTGTTTTTGGTTTGTTTCGACATTGCAGATGTCCAAGCCAAAAATCTCATCCCAGGAGGAAATCCTGAGCGATGGGCGCTTCAGCTGCGTGGCGAGGGATCCCAGGTTTTGGGAGATGCCCGAGAAAGAGCGGAAGGTCAAGATTGACAAGCGATTCCGAGCCATGTTTCACGACAAGAAGTTTAAGCTGAAGTACACGGTGGACAAAAGGGGTCGCCCCGTTAACTTCTCCACCACGGAGAACCTCAGGAAGTTTTATGCCTTGTCGGAATCTGACTCTGATCTTTCAGAGAGCGAAGGGCAGGCTGAAGAGCAAAAGAAGCAAAAAAAAAAGAAAAAAAAAGGTAAAGGAGAAACGGATTCTGCAAAGCCACCTGCTGGTGGTCTCCCAAAGGACAACAAAATAAACAAACAAGGGGTGGAGAAAGCATGCGAAGTGGAGACAAAACTAAATGACCTTAAAAAGGAAGTTAAGAAGGGCAAATCTAAACTCAGCTTGAAAGAGGACTCAAAGAAAACTGCGGTGGAAGTTGATCCCTCTCAGGGAAACAAGGGCCTTTTGTCCAGAGGGGGAAACAAGCAAGGAGATGCATCAGGAGGAAGATCAATTTCAAATCAGAGCAAGCAAAAGTCTTCACAAGCAAGAGGTGTTGAATCAGTGAAAGCTCCCAGGAGGGACCACTCCCTGGGAGGGAAACTAAAAGAACCAGGTTAGTTGTTCAGATTACTAGTAGAGTTCATCTGTGTTTGCTTGGATGCTGATGGTATCCACAGAAAATCTTTTGCAAGATCAGTTATAAAAAAAGCTGCCTGACTCAGATTCAGTGTTGCTGAAGGATTGGAGTTGCTCAGCTCTGTAGAGAATCAGTGCTGTTTTTTCAGTAACACTGTGAACATCCCTGTCCTTTGAATGGCTGGAGCTGAAATTTGTGGTCAGTTAGAAAAGTAAAATGTCTTAACAGCTTGTAAACCACTGTATTTATTTATATTTATCAAACCAAACAGCAAGTATGGGGTCTGATACCATGGAGGCTTCAGCACATCACGGTCTGTTGACTGAAAAAGTAAAGGTGGCAGGATCGAGCCATTAATATTAGAGGTGATTAAAGAGAGAAGAGATGTTTTAAAGAAAAGCTTTCTTTAGGTTGCTTATGCATGTCTATGGCCTACATCATTGAAATGTGATTTTTGCATGTTAATTCTATACATATAAATAAAAGAGCAGAACATTTCATTAGAATTGAGACTGACAATGCAGCTGTGGGCCTAAAGAGCAGTTAAATCAGATTAGACCAAGCGAGGCGAACAGAAGAGGCAACACTGATGTTTTGTGTTATTTGCACTTCCCTGGTGTAATTTGTTCCTCCATCTTTACACCTTTCAGGGGGTCCTGTAAATATGCATTGAGGAAACCTGAAGTTTTCCTTTTTCTAAAGGATCATATGCAATTCCACCATAAATACAGGGATCTAATGTTTGTCTCTCTCTGCACAGACACCTGTGATCCAAGTGGAAAGAGGAAAAGCCAATTAGAGGAAGAAACTTCTGCAAGTGAAGGTGTAGAGTCGGGAGAAGAGGAGGCGGAAGAAGATGATGGGGAAACAGGCGAGGAAGAGGAGCCAGGAGAAGATGGAGAAACAGGTGAAGAAGACAGTGATTCAGAAGATGAGGAAGAAAGTGACAGTGGGCCTGATCTAGCTAGAGGCATAGGGAATATCGAAACCAGCTCAGAGGACGATGAGGATTTAAATGACCTGTTTCCAAAGGAGCCGGAGATCGAGCATTCCTGGCGCGAGCTGGATAAAGATGCCCCTCGTGGAGATGAGGTAACAATGCTTCCCATGAGAAAAGCTGCTCCATGACAAGTTCAGAAGCATCCTGAGTTCATTACAGACCTTCCTCTGTAATGAATGCAGAGCCATCATTCAGGGTGGGGGAGTGCTTTTCATAAAGGTTTCTCAGCCTTTTAGTTACAGAATGTGAGTGATGGTGAAATCAGCTCTGAGACTTGTGGTCTCCACTGGTGTCTCTGAGCACAGTCACCTAGAGATAAGGGGAAAAAAAAACTAGACAGAATCGAGCTTTTCAGAAATTCCAGCCTTCAAATAGTAATGCTCTTGTTCACCGGTGGTTTTTCCACTTTTTGTTTTATATTTAGTTGTTTAACTTACTTTAGGAAATTCAGACATCATTAGATAGCGAAGAAGGACTTTACAGCTGGCACAATTACAGTCCCCTTGTGCTGTCACAATACCTTGATATTTGTTGCTATTGTGGCTATCAATATAAGATGATAACAAAATTCTATTTGTTGATGTTGTCAGTGCAACATCTGAGGAAAATGCTTCTTTTATTTTTTTTTTTCAGCAAAGTTTATTGCTGACTTTGATTTTTACCAGGGAGTTCTGCTCGAGACTTTATGTCCTTTTTTTCTTTTCAGATTACCAGTAGATTGGCAGTTTGTAATATGGATTGGGATAGGCTGAAGGCAAAGGATTTGCTGGCTCTATTTACTTCTTTCACTCCCAAAGGAGGAACAGTATTTTCTGTTAAGGTAAGATCTGATTTCTAAAAGGAGTACTGGCTTTTACTGTAAAAAAAAAAAAAAAAGAAAAAAAAAGAAAAATACAAAATAAAACAGTTCTATGGAGAACCTAAAGAGAGATTAACGTGTTACCCCTTTCTGAAAGGGGTGAAAGTGAAATGAACAAAGTCAGGGTTCCTGTTGTTCTTCATCTGTCTCAAAATACACTCATTCCTAGCAGGCAGTTTGGTTATTCCACTGCCTTTTCCATACATTAAAATTAGGAGGGTTATTAAAGGTTATGGAATTGATCCCTTAACTGATTTTAAATAAAATCCATAAAGTCTAAAAGCCTGGTGAGACATTTTTAATGTATGTTACATCACTGAAGGTAAAAATTTAGTTTTATGTTTTGTTTGTAGATTTATCCTTCAGAGTTTGGAAAAGAGAGATTGAAAGAGGAAGAACAAAAAGGACCTGTGGAACTGTTTGAGCTTCCAGAGAATACCACAGAGGAGGATGGGTATTTACATCTTCAAATGAGAGATATAACATGTTTAATTCTCAGTGAAAATCCCAGTCACGTTGCCAGAAGTTTGTGTGTGGAAGTCCCCTGTGGACACCTCAGTTTTTTAGGTTTTTCAAGTGATGTTTTGCAACTGGCCCTTTTTTTTTTTTAATCCATTTAATAAATGCATTATGATGAAACTTTAACTCAAAATTGATATATTGAAGCTCATTGGAGTGATCAATGAAAAGAGTGAGAGCTTAACACAGCATTTCTCCTCTACAAATTCCTGCAGTTAACTCCCTTCGGTGCTCACTGTCAAAACTCTTATCTGTCAATCAGCAGGGACCTCAACTCAGGCCAAGAATTCCCAGAGTGAGATTTCTTGAG